TTACTTAAAACCCTAATCCTGCCAGAACTTTCACCCATGCAGAGGGGTACTCACTGCGAGTAAGCCCATTGACACACTGCATAAAGTTAAACATATTCATAAGCCTTGGCAGAACTGGGGCCTTACTCACGAATAACCCATTAAGGATCCCATTGCTGCAAACAAGCTTGAGAGTAAAGTTACTCATGTGAGCAATTCCCAAGGAAGTCAATGGGCTTAGTCAGGTCAGTAAAGTCAGGCATGAATGAGTGTCTTGAGGATTGGGCCTCGGGTATTTTTGTCCCCTCTCGGTGTTTTACACAGCTCAGACCTGAAAGCTGAGGAGTCACTTTCACCGTCTGGAGTGTTCATGCAGTCGCACATTGCTGCTCTGCTTGGGCTGTGAAGACGACGGCAGTGGACTCGTTACATGAAAACGGTCTGTTTCTAAAAAACAGCACTTGTTTCTAAGTTTGGTTCTGTAAACCATTGTTAAAGAAGTCCTAAACCTGGGGCCTGAACTCTATGAGAGCACCTATCTAATGCCCTGCCTGTGCTATTGAATCCGCAGTGTAGTGAAATGCTCCTCAAGAACCAACCTTAAAAACCACTTCCAGCGACAGTTTGCCAACCCAGGCTGGCCTGCACAGTTGGGGCATAATTTGTTTCAAAATGGAGACTGAAGCCATTTCAACAAAACCTTGAGTTTTGGTGGTGTTACAAGAACCATTGCCTCAGAGCACCCCCTTACTGCAAGACCTAGCACTGCTGTGCTCTGCCTTAGTTTGCCCCCAGCAGCCTTTGGCCTACTCCAGCCGTAGGAGTGGCTTGGCCCTTCAGCCACACCACTTCCGAGAGTGCCCCCCCCCTCCTTCCAGAGTAATGGAGTCCTCTCGATAAACTCCACCAAAAGCCAGGCACAGAGGAAACTTCAGCCCTGCTAGGCTCAACGTACAGCTCCCAGCTGCAACAGCCTGTCTGACTCTCACCTGAGTTCTAATGCGCTTAGCAATACATCCAGTCCAGGCCCATGCTCTTACAAAGGGCTCTAGCCGGTCACAGCAAGGCCTCTGGCTGCCAGTTTTTCTCCCTGGTCAGCCCTCAACTGATGGGTTTTACTCTTCCTAAATCCAGCACACAGCACAGGTGTGGCAGGGCTAACTGAACAGGGCTGACTGGCCCTTAGAAGGACAGGCCACCCTGTTACAGACAGCACTTGAAATGAGACCATGGAGCCACAGATATGCCTGAGCTCTGTTGTGTTAAAGGGGATAAGAGTTTCAAAAGTAGAAAAAACTAGGATGCATGTTGTGGTGCAAACAAAGGGTTAGGGCTGTGCACAGGCACCATATTTTGTAAAACTGACCTGGAAACAGGTACACATGGTCAAGTTAAATCATGTGTTACTACATCAGTGGTTTCATTAACATTTCAACTAATTTGTTGGCTCTGGAGTGGAATGCATTATATCTATGCTTCTCAGCCTCCTTAACACCATGGATCAGATCCACTCCAGCACTCCTATGCTGCTGAAAAACAGGCCCCACCTGGATCCTGTGAGTCACACCTTTATTACAGCTTGCTGAGCAAGCAAATTAGCTGGTATACTTATCCTGGTGCTCGTATTATTAAAGCTCTGGGGCAGTAATAAATGAAAGTGTACAGGTTCGCACAAGCATCGCCTGCTGCCTCTCTCCTGCCAAAGTATTATGAATGCATTGATGTCCACAGACCCAGCCACTTCCCCCTGAGTCCCCTTTCCCTGTCTGATATCAGTCACAGCAGGAAGCAGAATTTGCAATTCTTTAACAACAGAACAAGGATCACAATAAATCACAGAACTGCTTTAAGGTCACCTCTGAAAATGCATGGGACTGAATGTATCTGCTTCCCAAGGATAAATACTAACAGCCAAATCGTCAGCTGATATAAATTGCCATCATTCCATTGAAGTCAGTGGAGCTTTGCAGATGTCTGCCAGCAGATAATCTGTCCGGAAGAGTCTGACTTGACCTTGGCAGGATATCTGTCTGTAGTTTTGAAAGTCTAGATGTTCTAAATCTGATATTTAGAGTAAGCCATCCCCTACCAGTAAAAAGAGGAGAGAAAACAGGGAATGGGTGGAGGGGCTGTTGAGACAGATGTAAAAATACATATCTTTTGTTAAACCAGAGTCAACATACAAAGCTGGAGACCCACAGGATGAGAAAAGGAGAGAGATCAGTAAAGACCATGACAGCAAGTACAGCACAAGAACTGGATTCTATATGGCAAAATACACCATCCTAGGAGGAAATTTTATGTGCCTCACTGAATTATAGGTGCTGGTAGAAGGAAGTCAAGATGATGCAGTAGGGCAGGGCTGTGGAAAGTGGGGTTATCTGTTTGCTATTTAAGTCAGTTCTATACAGATGTATGCAGGAATGCTGTTACTCTTGAGCGCCATCTGCTGGCTCTATAGTAGTTAAAAAGCAGGTAACATTCCCAACGTCAAGCATAGGGAAAAAGAACAAATACAACAATCCAGCATTTTCCCATTTAGCACTATGTTGCAATGCTGGATAGTTTCTGTAAACCATGTCATCCCCTACTGGAAATCATTCTATACATACCGTAAATTTATAGTCAGTACTGAAGTAGAAAATGAACCAGCATCGTCTTTTTTTTGGTTTGTTTGGTTTTTTTAGGTAAACAGGTTCCTTAGCTAATTTCATTAAAGATGTTAAGTTTCTCAGCTCTCCTCTGCATGTTTCAACATCAGTTTGAAATCCCTTATGGGTTGTGAATAACTGTATTCATGCACAGCTTGTATTTAGTGCAACATTGCCATCTTGTGGTGCAAATATCTGATTAGATTTTTGAGAGACACAAACTATCATATTTAAAAATCACATTTTAAACAAATTCCCTTACCTAGATTTACTTTTGTAAGCCCAGGGATGGCCTTTTTGTTCTCTGTTTGTGCTGCACCTTGCACAATGGGGTGCTGGTCCATGACTGGGATTCTAGCTGCTCCTGTAAGTAAGATAAATAGTGAATAAGATATCAACACCACCTTTGATTATTTTAATAATTTCTCAAGTCCAGAGGCCTGATCCCTGTGGATGCTGTTTGGCCAAGCAGGGAAATATAAATATAAACAATGACTCAGAGGTGCACCGTTGTATACACCTGTACAATGTGGCACACTGTGCATACTTGTACTATGGGTCTGAGCCTCAAAATGGGAGTGAAATAATTCAACATCATTTCCCTCAGAGTAGTTAGTTGTTCATAAAACCAAAGGTAAAGTGTGTTTATAATCTGGGGGATAAAGTGTCACTATTTTTCTCTTGTTAGAGATAACATCTTTTATTACCTGATGCTCACGTTCTCCCATTGTCCACTTCTGAGATACTCCATTAATGTTGGATGAAGATTCTGCTGCCTGGCCAAAGGGATGTGGAAAAAACATCTGTAGATATGACAGAAACTCTGTATGACAGAGTAGTTTATAATCAACCCAGCAACTCGGTCTGTGACACCTGGCTAACCACAACTGCAGCAACAGCCTCTCTGAGTGACATAGGAACATCTAGGCCTGTGGTTTTCACATAGGTTTTACCATATGTTTGCTTGAAGAGACTTAGAGTTGTTATGAAGAGGATGCTCTGTGAACTCTTATTGCACTAAAGGTTTCTGTGTATTTTTCAAGACAGAAGGAAATACATAGATCTACACAGAAGTGTAGAAATTATACAATGTGAATAAGGTATCCAGCAAAGAGCCCTTTTTTCCTGTTTGTGAACGGATTCCATTTCTGACAAACAGATTTATTCCTACCTATTCACAGAACAATATTGACTGTTTCTTGTCCATGTAATGCAATTGTTCACCAAAAATCAGATGTTTTTGCATCCTGATTGGATATTTGAAACTCTTAAAATAATAATGTAAATCTTACAAATTCTTGGATGAATAACCTTTCATGCAAAAATTCATAAAGTTCTTTGAGTTACTCACATTTTTGCAAATAGCCAGCAAGTGAGTGCAAACACAATAAACAAGAGTGAATTATATGGGATCGCCTGCTTTTATCTATAAGTCATGTCTTGTATTATTTAACCAGCTCCAGTCAAAAGTGGTGTGTGGAATCTAGGCTCCATAGGCAGCAAGACAGCTGTAAGGTGGGTGGACCCCGTTGGGATGGAATGCTACAGGCCATAGACAAGGGAAGAGGGACTTCCCCATGTTCTTTGCATACAGCATCAGCACATTAAAAAAAAAATAGAACAGTGAAGAGGAAGTGGTCAGATTATTTAAGAGACTCTTGAGATTTTGGTGCCTTGCCAACACTTATGACAAAACGTTCCTTTTGGATCTTCTTAAGCCCTTCCTCACACAGGTTGAACCTGAACAAACAGCCGTACAGCATGGAGCTCCTGTGAAGCTATCGGACACTAACAACTAGCAAAGGAAGAGTAAACCCTCTCTCCCCCACCCCAACACACACACACATCAATGTTCATCTTTGTGCTAGCAACCTGGGCGCCTCCCTGTCCCAACATCCAAGTCCAGTCACCCTGTGAGCAGCCACAGGAGAGGCGGTCTCTAAGACAAAAGGTCAGAAAGGAGGTTGATACAAAAAGCCAATGAATGACCATTATTTCACTATGTAAGACACACTGTGTGACAATTGCTTATTTTCTATTATGAAGATCAGTACCATAAGCTTCCCCGCTCAATCCCCAAATTCTACTTTCCTGATTTTCTTTGGCCTCAAAGAGTTCAAGTCAGCTGGAACTGCTGATCTGTGCACTACTCATTTTTCTAAGTATTTGTTTGCCTACCTTTTTTTTTTTATTTTACTCAAAAGCACTAATTATACATAATGTTTCTTTACTTTCTTAAAGAAGAATAAAAAACCAAAATCAGTCCAGTAGGCTAATCAATCAGTAATGGAATCTCCAGCCTCATTTATTAATGGTCTTACCTCCAATCTAGTGTTTCTCTCTCCCCTGAAACACTTGTAAAAGTCTTCTTCATTGCCCTTTACCTTATCCCTACAGCTTGTACCATCCTGTATTAATATAGCTGACTGTAATATGCAATCGTTCACATTATTATAAGCATTTTAAATTTAAAGATACAAATAATATTTGTTCTAAAGGTAATTTAATATTGCAAAATAATTACACACTTTCTGTAAACTTTCAATACATAGTCTTCAAGTAAAACACAAAATACAGGTATTACGTTTACTGCCCCTTTTAGAGACACTAGGTCTGATTTTCAGTCCCCAGTAGGTGTACATTTGTGCACATGTTCAGATATTTAAAAGAACATGTATGTGTAAAGGCTGTTTACCTCCAGGACATGCCTGTGTACCGCCAGGACATGCCTGTGAAAAGTAGACACACATTTGCCTCTGTGTAAATGCACATAAATTCCAAGGCCAGAAGGGACCATGATGATAATCTACTCTGACCTCCTGTATAACACAGGCCATAGAACTTCCCCAAAATAATTCCTAAAGCAGATCTTTTTGCAAATATCCAATCTTGATTTAAAAATAGTCAGTGATGGAGAATCAACCATGACACTTGGTTAATTATTCCAGTGGTTAATGACTCTAGCATGGGGTTGAAAATCAGACCCGCTGAAGTCCATAAGGCTTAACAATTTTATATGAAGGAAGTTCTATTTATTTATATACATACACACACAGTCTTTATATTAAAATAGTTATACCTTAAAATAATATTTTTGTTTATAAAGAATGCACCCCTACAAAAGTGATCAAGATTCTGAACAACAAACTTAAAAACAATAGTTAACTATAATAATCTTATAGTACACTAGCTGAATCTAAAAACACAAGGCCCAGTTTACCTCTGATGGGAAATGGATTGGGCCCTTTGGCCCCAATCCCATGCACTCAAGTCACTTTACACACCAGAGATTATTCACACATGTGCTTAAGCATCTGCAGGATAAGGACCTTAGGCTCAGCTCAAGAAAGCACCTAAGCACATATTTAAAGCTTTAGTGCTTTTCTGGATAGGGCTGTCCTGAATCAGGGCCTTAGTTCAGAAAAAAGGTAAAAGTTTTACTTTGAAGTTCACAGAGCTCTGTTTTCATTATGGCTCATAAGGCCACAATGCACAATTAAAACAAAGCAAAGAACCATGTGGCCTTGACAGAAGAGATTAAATTAATTTAATATTTTATAAGGAGTTTAAAGTGCAACAATTACATTTTGAAAAGTCAGTATTTAAAAAAGGTGGACTGAGAGCACTTATTTAGAGTGGAATTCCTCCTTACACAGTAAGTTCTGCAATAGACTTCTGTACATCAATGGAATGTTTTTTGTTTGCATAAACATATATTACAAGTACAGAAGCCAGAGGTTAGTTTAACAAAACATACAGAGTACACGTACATGCATTCATTCACTTCTGAGATAACTAGGTACTCAATTGCCACTCATTTATAAAAACTACTTCCCAGTGACAGTGAGATTAGTGATCAGGATTTCACAGCCTGCCCTTAAAACATTGGAAGTTGTTTTTTTTATTTAATAAAAAGCATGAGTAGAATTTATTCTCATCGCTTCTAGTAGTGTGAACCTCAGCAATCACGAGTCTCACAAACAATGCTGAAAATGACTTACAATATACAAAACAGTTTAGTACACAGTATTAAATAGACCTTATCTGAACTGGGGATTTATCAGGCAATATAAAAATGATAGGTTCCAGCAAGTGAACACCATTCTGATGAAGAGCTGGCAGTAAAACTATTTTAATATCTGAGAAGTATTACAAACTGAGTGTTCACTAACTTTATTGAGGGAGGGAAGGGATACAGCAATTGTATAGTAGAGAGTAACAAACATTATTATATAAACTCTAACAAACAGGTTGTGTACAAAAGATTTTAATTTAAAAACTGTTTGTTTCCCACAGTGACCAGAAGAGAGAAGGGCCAGATCCTCGGCTGGTATAAATCAACATAGCTCCACTGAAGAGAATGGGGGTGATCACAGGTAGGATCTGACTCTTAGATTCTAGAAGATCCAAAATTTTCAGAAAGGTAGCAAGTTGCTTACCGGCTTTAAACTCCCAAAAAAGATAGCATATGCCCGGAATCTATAGGTTTCCTTTAAGCGTGGGTACAGAACTCCCAATTAACTTCAGTGGGAGTCTGACTCAATTAAGGGCTGCAGAATTTGGCCCCTTATCTCTGAGAATGAATTTAGATAGAAAAGTTATACACAGAAGATGAAGTAAAAATACTTTAAATCTGCTATTCCACCCAATAGCTGTAATACTGAAAACATTGTTTCCTAAAGCCAGTACCTGCTGGTGCACCTGTTTTTGTCCCTAGCAAATTCTGTCCAGCAGTAAGACTTCTTAGCAAAGTTGGGGGGATCTTATTCTAGCACACAGAAAGGAAATATAACATGTCTTTACAAAAAAAGAGGTTATTGCACATAATCTGAAGAGGAATGAGACCCTAGTTAGCAGGAGAATCAAGCTAAAGTCCAGTGCCATTCTTTGGTCAGTTGCAGAAATGTGCTGCCGGCTACTTTAACACAAAGGGCCTGATCCTCCTGTCTGGTAGAGCTGGCCTTAGTGTAGGACTAGTGGGATGTGAGAGGGGCAAATGTGAATTCACAAGTCTTTTGAGTCTTCCTGATCCTAGTGCCTCCCTGGTGTTATTCAGACACCCACCTACAGCACAACTTAGAACAGCCCAGATGTTCAGTGCTGCTCTAAGTTGTACCCAGCTGTTCACAGCCTTAAGGGGCTATGCCAGCACCTGGGTAGAGTCAGAGTGCAGTGAATGTCTGGCCCCATGCTCTTTTCCCTAGGGATGGGGTGCAAAGATGAGAAGCATGCAGCTGTCACTGGCTCTATATCACCCAGGGATTCCCCAAGTAACTAGTTAAGTTGGCTACACGTCCCTTTTTTACGTGCTGAAGCTGCTCAAAGTGCTGAGGATCTGGCCTAGAATACTGAGGAAAAATCATATTGGTGGAAAACACTAACCACTGAATTCAGAATTTAATTAAGGATTGAGGGTGGTGTCTATGGTCATTTCTATCTATTCAGGCTTTAATACATTTCAGAAAAGCCAAATGCTTAACACCTATTTTTCAAGTTTATGGGAATGTACTATACATTTTACATATAATTCTGACCTGTTCACAATTATTTGCATTTTCATGGTTATTTTGAGTACTACTAAATACTCTGTATCTGAACGCCAATCAATGTTAACAAATGTGGTTTATGTTATCAACTAAAGGCTAGCATGAAGCCTGCTGGTATGAGACAGCATCTTCGCTTTATATTGCTAAACCACTCATTTTACTTCTTGTTCCACAGCAGATTTGTATTTGTTTTTATTACACATTATTGGAAAAATGTGAACCCTAGGTCTGGAGTGCCCATATTGACACACCTACGGGGAAATCCTCACCCCCACTTTGGCCCCTTTACACTGAGTAAAATGGACTGGACAGGCATAAAGAAGCTTGAAAGCCCCGGTTCCTCCTAAGCGATGTTTCCCCTGGCGCAGGCACTACACAAGACATCCATAAGGCTGCCCTGTGAGGATCCGCTCACAAATCCTGACACAGGGGTTTTACTGAGGGTGGGTCCAGGAGTGGGAGGGGTGAATTGGAGGACAGGAACATGACATGCAGTACTGTGGAGATTCCAGGCAATGCTATGACCCTTAGGTAGGGCCCTACCAAATTCATGGCACTGAAAAATGTGTCACGGATTGTGAAATCTGGTCTCTCCCCGTGAAATCTGGTCTTTTGTGTGCTTTTACCCTATAACATATAGATTTCACGGGGGAGACCAGCGTTTCTCAAATTGGGGGTCCTGACCGAAAAGGGAGTTGCAGGGAGGTCACAAGGTTATTTTAGGGGGGTCACGGTATTGCCACCCTTACTCCTGTGCTGCCTTCAGAGCTGGGCGGCTGTAGAGCAGCAGCTGTTGTCCGGGTGTCCAGCTCTGGAGGCAGCGCCCTGCCAGGAGCAGCGCAGAAGGGTGGCAATACCATACCATGTCATCCTTACTTCTGCCCTGCTGCCTTCAGGACCCCTACAATTACAACACCATGAAATTTCAGATTTAAATAGCTAAAATAATGAAATTTACGTTTTTTAAAATCCTATGACCATAAAATTGACCAAAATGAACCCTGAATTTCGTAGGGCCCTACCCATATGGCAGTGCCAGGAGTCTGACATAACTTACATAGCCCTGGGGGAGGGGTCTAAGTTATTCTGGGGGCTGTTTCAGTCCCTGGAACAGCCAAGGATCAGGACAGTGCAAAGATGGTTAAGGCTGCCTTAATCACTCTCCCCCTAGATTCAGAGTTATCTGCTGCACTTCTTAGAGGGGCCACACAAAACCTCACCCCTAACATGTGAATTGTCAGAGGTTCTGCAGCTCTCACTGATTTCATCTAGTGCTCTGGGCACCCAACACCTCTGAAAATCAAGCCCTAAGTGCCTCAAATTGGGCACCCCCCAGAAAAAATATCAAAGGATCTGTTGAAAATATGGACCTGTGTGTACCCCACCTCTACTTAGTTTTTGTTATACTTCTGAAATATAGGGAAATAAGGTCCTGCTCCTGCAAACCAATTAGTGTTCTGCCATGGATTTTAATGGAATAGGATTGGACCATTAAAGTGAAAAAAAGTTGGCTGCAGATCCCACTTAAAAGGGTTTCCCCCCCCCCCCAGCCTAAATGATATATACTGCAAGGAGAGAGAGAGAAAAAACCCCACTGTAACTTAAGAAGATTGAAAGAGTCATTGATTGGGAAAGAGTTTATGGCTTTAGAGTGTGTGGGGGGGGTCTGATTCTCAACTGCCCTGTATCTCATGTGGTCATTGATAGTAGTGTTATGGTAGCACTTTGCATTGATGCTAGTGTTTCGGTAGCACTTTGCACTGGCGGAAATAACGACACAAGGTGCAGGGCAGTTGAGAATCAGGCCGTGTCTTTTCATCTTCTTAGTCACTCATGATTTTTCCAATTAAACTAACGTGTTCATTGGAGCAGAGTACGTTTTGGTTCATACCATTTTATATTTGTCTTTCCTCTAGAACCATGTTCTATAAATAAAGGAATGTGTTTATTCTGGCACATAGATAGCGGCTCTTGAAATGGGAAGGGCTGATCAATCTAGTGTGACATATCACTTTCTTCAGACTTTGGGGATGCTTCCTCCCTTGGTACTTCTGTAGTAAAGAATTCAGCAGCATTTGGGCTGAAATGGTCTATGTTTTTCTACAGGACTATTTGTATCAAACCTTCCAGTGTGCAATATTCACTTCACGATACACCACAGGCAGATTTTGGCCCTAAGTCTAGCATAGCTGACCAAGGGAGGTACAGCCTCATATATGGGAACCCTCTGCTGGTGTAGAGCCAAGGTACTGGCTCCTTCACCCTCCTTCCCTTCCCTGCTGTTGGGATACAGGGTTTGGTTGAGGCTTCTCTACACCCAGCTGATCCTTCGAGGCTGACTTAAGCTACATCAGGGGACCAGACCAGCATACAGCCAGACCAGCATTGCGGGAGCAGATCTTTGCACATCCTCCCTTGCCCCTGCTCCACAAGCGGCACCATTCCATAGCAGAGGATCTGGGTTTTCATCTCTCAGTAGCATATTCCCAAGTAAAAACTGTTATAAAGTTCATTTCTGTGACCATAGCAGCCAAGTGTAAGAGGATGCTTAAAGTTCCAGGACCCGGTTCTTCTCTCGCTTAACCAGTAAGTCAGAAGCCACAACCAGAACCTCAAATCCAATTCCTTGAAGCCCAACCCCTATGGTTTTGGTATTGATTTGGATCTCAAACAGTAAGGCGCCTATCTCCTGGTTCAGTTGCAGCCAGACTCTCCTGGTTCAGTTGCAGCCAGACTCTCAGAAGAACAGCTGATCTCAATAGTTAAAGATGACAGAAGTCTCAGAAAATCAGTGACTCTTTCCTTGCATCATTTTGTCCTAAAAACTTGTGAAAACAGCCTGCAAGATTTCAGTGCAAGTGACTTTCAACCATAGCCCTAACTAGGAGTCAAAAACCAACCAGCAGCTTTAAAACTAAACTGGATTCAGATGCTACCCCTTTGGGGTGTCCCTATTGTTTTACAAGACAGGTTGGTACAAATGGCAAAAATTATACCACACATTCCTTCAAAGAATGTAATCATTGAAGTTTTAAACTTCATTGCTTACTGGAAGGACATGCAGGCCCTAAATACAATTTTAAGTGGTCATTTACCTTTACTAAATACAACTACCAGGGTATTAGGATACAGCTGTATTTATTTCTACTTGAAAGGCATTAGTCAGAAACTAACTCTCACTAACTGCACTTGGAGTATAGGGTTTTGTTTTATTTATTAATAGTTTAATCCAAATTTTAGTGTTAATCGTTTACGGTGGGATTTTCAAAATTGGCTGAACACTGCTCCCATTGAAGTTATTGGTACAACTCCCATATAATTTTGTGGGAGCAGTTAGGCAAATATCAAATGCTTATGAAAGTCTCACCCTTAAACTTTACCACATCTGGAGAAAAAAGATTAAAGCCCAGAGATAGAAGGGGATTTTTATAACCATCTCCATATGCTTATTGGGAATATATGTATTTTTAAATAAGTCTGTAGTGGCTACCAGGTTCCACTACACCCCACACGAGCTGATAATCATTAGCATCCTGTAAATAATTTAGCCAAAAGACACCGTCATTTCATTCTGAACTGTTTGAGGAAAACATCAGGAATTTAGGGTTCCTGAATGTCTTATTTGAATTTAAGGCCTGTTCCTCTTCTGACTTACCCTTGTTTTACACCAGTGTAACAATTCCAGGTCTGATTTTCCTTTGTTACCACCCTCTTCTGCAGCTCTGCTAAAGTATTTAGCTACTGGGGAATTTCCCATGCAGTGCAGAGCTGCCACAATGGCTCTACACTACCCCCTCTGCAGTCCACATGTGGAGACATGACTGTGGAAAAAAACATGTAGTTGGAATACCACCGTGGCCACTTATGGCTAAATGCATCCAGGTGCAAAGTAAAGCACGCTCAGGATGGCTCTAATGTATACTGGGAGCGGGGCACAGAATAGAGGAGGAACAAAGATGGCTTAGAGGCACCTTTGTCCCCCTCACTGTTCCTTCACTAAATAGAGCTCTGGCAGAACCAACATGAAAAGAGAATCAGTCTCTTACAGTCAGCTGCTCTGGCCGACCTTGAAAAATATCCTTAACTTTGATATTTGGAAAGAATTATATCATCAGAGTGCAAAACAAATCCAACCAGTGTCAATACAGAGTTCTAAGATAAATATTCAGGAGCACCACAATAAACCTTCTAGCCTCCTCTCCAGAAAAGTGAGGAAAGGTCATATTTTACCATGTGTTAACAAAACACTTGTGAATGCCATATGCATATTAGTCAGAAAAAACAACCCGAGCCACTACCTTTACCTAAGTACAGTCTGTGATGAAAAAATAAATAGATTGTCCCCTCCACTAAGTGCTTGATTTCATGTAATCTTCACGGGTGATTTCTTGTGTGCGCAGAGGAGGGTGACATAGGGGACACCAATGAAAGCCCATTTTTCACTGGGCCAGAACTTTATGACAGGGCCCTGTTCAGGGATCTCAGAGGCAGCATCAAAGTAGGCAAAACAGACACAGCCTAGGTAAGCAGCAAGGCAAATGAGGACGTGCCTGAGGAGAATGGAAAACAAAGAAAAAAAACATTAATGTGGCTTCTGTAAAGGTGTCAAATATATCACCAAGTTTTCAGACCAATCAGCCCCTACCCCTTTCTCCTGTCCCTCCTGAGCATGGCTAGCGTCAATCCCTGTCCTCTTTGGATTAACAAGATGTAGCATATAGATAACTATACTACAAATATGCAGTGAATTGTAACATTCGTGGTCCAAACTTGATGACCTTTGAATATGCTGCAAAAGAGACACTTACACAGAGTTTGGGGGAAAATGATGAGATATGGTCTTGAGTAAAAGAGACTTTTGCTCATAGGTGGATAGGTGTGAAGGAGTGGCACTGAGCTCTAATCTTCTTTGTCTACCTGTCTGCTGTCATGGATTTTTTAAGGATGGAGAGATTTCTCTCTTCTCAGACCCATTGTTTCAGACTGATAACAGTGCATTGGTTTACACTTGGAAGGTTATTTCAGCATTCATAAGGGCTAGAAACTTAGTTTTCATTAAAAGTGAAGTTAGAGTCTGCAGAAACTTAAGAGGCCGGGAGGCACATAAATCTATCAAGTGGATGGGATGTCTGAACACTATTGGTTGGGAGTCTAGTAAAGCTGTTCATCATTGTGAAAGGAACAACAGTCAATGCACAAAACAGCCTACGTGCATTAAGGGTTATTAAGGGTTTCTCTTCTTTAAATGAAACAACAGAGTTTACACACAGTACTTACCACACACAGTGCAAATACGGAAAGTTAAATGAAGACCAGATCTCACAAAATGCTTTGTCACTGATCCAGCAGAAAAGTGCTAACATCCACCAAAGACCTGAAAAGAGGCCCAGCTTGTACACACGCAAGTTTTCACACCTAAAAAATGACATAAGGAAGGGAAGAAAAGCTGTTATCAGTCACTATGTGGTTTGGCTATATTGAGCTTTGGCGTGGAATCCGGAACACCAGGCTGCACATCTTTAAGAAGCCTGCAGCTGCTTTGCATCCAGTGCAGCATTCTGAAAAAGTGATATGTTGAGGAGCTTTACTTACCATCTACTTACCATCAATCTGAGGTGAGTAAAGAGACTATGCAAACAAAATGGCACCTTTACTCAGTAGCTCTGCTCCGGGATACTCTTAATTACTGATGTGCAACTTTTGGACAAAAAAATTGTTTTCACTCCTGTTAGGACTACAGCCCAAGTAAAAGTTCTGGAAGCCAGAGCTGGAATCCATTTTCCCTCATATGTCAGCAACTGCCCTAATCCTGCAACAAGAACCATGATGCAGCAGGAATCTGCCTGCCCAGTTCTCTTTGCAAGATAGGGACCTAAATGCCAATTGCAGCATCTTTTTTTTTAAACTGGTGAGGATGGATGAGAAATGCCCAGCTTAACTTTCAGATCTCAGGGTGAGTTTGCATGGTAAGCAGTTAGAAGGAAAAAAAATTACTCTTTTTACTTGTAAACTGAGCAAAATGTATTTGGCGTCACGGAGAAACAATAAACATGGAACCCCCCCATGTCATTATTAGCAAGAGTCACTTTCCAGACAAGAACTACACTTGAATTCTTTATTTTTTAGTTTTTTTCTTTAAGATTTTAATTAATTGGCACCCCTATAAGTGAAAGGTTTGGTGTCAAAACATGAAACACACTAAACGCATTCTGTCTTAAGGAAAGAACAAATATTTAAGCACAACTTTTACCATTTCAACACAGAGGAGTTTTTCTGATTGTTAGACGCAGTGGTAAAACTGATGGGAACTGGTTACAAGTCTTTGGCACTGGGGTCCATTACTAGCCTTGCCACAAATACTCAGACTGGAGTATGGTTTTCAAGAACTGGTTAAAAACAACTTCATCCCAGCCACAGTTAGAACACAAGGGAAACGTAGCTGAATTTTTAAAATTCTGTCGTTATCAAAACATTTCTTTGGGTTTAGAATTTGAGTAAAAGTTTGTAAATTTTGAGCCAAATTTTCACTTGCCCCTTTGATGTAGCAAACATTTTTTTAAAAGTTATATAAATATGAAGAATTCTATGCTTTTGGGTGTGGGGGGGAGGGGGGACTAGCTGTTTTTTCTACACATTAATTCAAGTAATCTACAGTTCGAAATGATGCTAACCCAAAAGTTTAAACATCCCCAAAGTTTTTGACAAGAACAATTTAGCTGATGTTGCATTCTTCTGAACCTCAGAAACGAAATTCTCAATCTGGGTTCAAAGACAGTTACCTTTTCCGTAACTAGTGTTCTTCGAGATGTGTTGCTCATGTGTATTCCACAATAGGCGTGCGTGCTCGCCACGTGCACCGGTGCCAGAAGTTTTTGCCCTAGCAGTACCCATAGGGGGAGCACTCCATTGACCCCTGGAGTGGCGCCTCCATGGCGCGGTATAAGGGGAGCTGCGTGCTCCCCCCACCCTCAGTTCCTTCTTGCCAGACAACTCCGACAGAGGGGAAGGAGCGTGGGATGTAGAATAGACATAAGCAACGCAACTCGAAGAACACCAGTTACAGAAAAGGTAACTATCTTTTCTTCTTTGAGTGATTGCTCATGTGTATTCCACAATAGGTGATTCCAAGCTATTTCTGTTGGAGGTGGGAAGGAGTTCACAAGTTCCCAGGACGGAGGACAGCTCTGCTGAACCCAGCGTCATCCCTGGTTTGGGGATGATGGCATAGTGCGAGGTGAACGTGTGAACCGAAGACCAAGGCCCTCCAAAAGACCACGGTCCTGGATGGGAACGTGGGCCAAGAAGGCAGCCGACGAGGCCTACGCCTGAATCGAGTGCACCTTCATAATCGGTGGCGGGGGGATACCCGCCAGCTCATAACAGGTGCACATGCACTAAGTGATCCAGTTGGAAAGCCGCTGAATGGAGATTGACTGACCCCCCATGCGCTCAGCCAAGGCAATGAACAGTTGCGAGGACTTTCTGAAAGGCTTGGTCCACTCGAGGTAGAAAGCCAGAGCCCGTCACACATTGAGTGTGTGGAGATGGTGCTCCTCACTGAACGCATGGGGCTTGGGGCAGAGGACCAGCAGAAAAATGTCCCGACTCCAGTAATAGGCAGAGACCACCTTCGGGAGGAACGCAGGGTGTGGGCGGAGCTGGACCTTGTCCTTATGAAACCGTGTATGGGGGCTCGGAGATCCAAGACCTGCCTGGCCGACATGATTGTGACCAGGAAGGCCACCTTCCACAAGAGGTGGGACCAGGCGCACGTGGCTAGTGGCTCAAATGGGGCTCCGTGACATGGGTCAACACCAGGTTCAGGTCCCATTGCGGGTGTGGGGGCCTGACGTATGGGAACAGACGGTCCAACACCCTGAGGAACTGGCCAGTCACAGCATGGGAGAATACTAAGTACCCCCGAACCGGCGGACAGAAGGCCGACATGGCCGCCAGGTGCACCTTGACTGATGAGGGCGCCAAGCGCTGGGCTATAGGTGGAGAAGGTATTCCAGGATAAACTGGATCGGGGTGGCCACCGGGGAGACACCCCATTCAGCTGCCCATCTGAAGAACTGGGACTACTTTGCCAAGTAGGAGCAGCGCGTGGAGGGCAGCCTGCTTTCTCCTCCCTACCTAACCATTGAGCAGCCACGCCGTGAGGTGGAGAGCTGCTAGGTTGGGATGGAGGAGGTAGCCCCGGTCCTGGGAGAGCAGATCCGGGCGGAACAGTAATGGCCACGGCGGAGCAACCGCCAGGCCCGCGAGGGTCCTGTACCAATGTTGCCTGGGCCATGCTGGGGCAATCAGGAGGACCCAGGCCTTGTCCATCTTTACCTTTTCCAGGATCTTGCTGATCAGTGGGAATAGGGGAAAGGTATAGAGAAAACAGGCCTGACCAGGACAGGAGGAAGGCATCAGAGATAGCGCCCCGTCCCAGTCACCCTGTGGAGCAGAACTGGGGACAGCGCCAGTTATGCCGTGTCATGAACAGGTCCACCTGGGGAGTTCCCCACACTTGGAAGAGTTGGTGAGCCACTTCTGGGTGGAGAGACCACTCGTGCTGAGAAGAGAAGTCCCTGCTCAAGCGATCTGCCTGCACGTTCCAGGCGCCTGGTAGATGGAAGGCCTTTAGGCAGATGCCATGGGCTATACAGAAATCCCACAGCTTGAGGGCTTCACGGCAGAGGGCAGATGACCCAGCCCCGCCTTGCCTGTTGATATAGAACATCGAGGACATGTTGTCCGTGAGGACCCTGACCACCTTGCCCTCCAGGTACAAGTGGAAAGCCACACACGCCAGGTGTACCGCCCTGAGCTCCTTGACGTTATGTGTGGGGTCAGATCCTGAGACAACCACAGACCGTGGGTCCGAACATTCCCCACATGAGCCACCCAACCCAGGTCCGATGCATCGGACACCAGCTCCAGTGACAGGGCCCTGTCCCAGAATGGGACCCCTTGGAGCATGTTGCTTGGGGCGGACCACCACCGTAGGGAGGCGATCACCAAGCTGGGCACGGTGAGGACCTTGTCCATCCTGTCCCTGGCTTGGGAGAACTCCAAGGCAAGCCAGAGCTGGAGAGGCCTCATTCGGAGTCTGGCATGGCGGACCACGTACGTGCATGCTGACATGTGACCCAAGAGCTGGAGGCACACTCTGGCTGTTGTCACCAGGAACCTTGTGATCATGCCGATGAGCCCCTTCAGGGTCTCGAACCTGTCTGGTGGGAGGGAAGCTGTGGCCGATGAGGTGTCCAGGAGTGTCCTGATAAACTCCATGTGTTGAACTGGGACTAACGCATGATCCCTCACCCGCGACTGGAGCTGCCCTTGACCAGCCAATTGTCCAGATAGGGAAAAATCTGGACACCCCCCAGCGCCTCAGGTAGGCTACTACCACTGACATACATTTTGGAAATACCCTGGGGGCAGTGGACAGGCCAAACGAGAGGACCATAAATTGGTAGTGATTCTGCCCCACCACGAAATGGAGGAGGCGTCTGTGTCCCTCGAATATGTGAATGTGGAAGTACGCGTCCTGCAGATCGAAGGCAGCGTACCAGTCCCTGGGATCCAGGGAGGGGATGATGGAGGCCCGGGAGACCATGCGGAAATTGAGCTTCACCATGAACTGGCTCAGATCTCGCAGATCCAGGATGGGCCTGAGTCCCACTTTGGCCTTCGGGATAAGGAAATAGTGGGAGGAGAACCCCTTGCCTTTGAACTGGAGCTTTATTGAGGGTGGATCCCTGAGGGGGACTGGCAGGGCGCCCCCAAGCATTATCGTCTTTTCCTCGCCTGTTTGCCCTTAGAGGACCCAGGTTGCGGGGCCTGCCTCGACTGCCTCTGAGGGCGCCTTTTATAGTCCCGTGCCTTCTTATAGGCAGCCTCATATTTCAGGTGGAGGCCTGAGCGGGAGTCTGCTGCAGCTTAAACTTAGATTTAGCCAGAGCCGGGACATAGAGACCCAGAGTCTGGAGGGTCGTGAACGAGTTCTTTCCACCATGCAGCTTTGTATCTGTTTGTTCCGCAAACAGAGCTTTCCCGTCAAATGGGAGATCCTGCATGGCGGCCTGTGCCTCACTGGACAGCCTGGACAGCAGGAGCCACAATACCCTTCTCATGGACACAGTGGAGGCCATGGATTGAGCAGCCGTGTCCGCCGCATCCAAAGTCGCTTGCAGCCGCTGTACCCTCCTCCACCAGCGCCTTGAACTCCTTCCTATCACGCTCCTGGAGGGAGTCCTCAAACTTGGGCAGGGAGCCCCACAGATTGAACTCATACCAGCCCAGGAGAGCCTGGTGGTTTGGCACTTGTAACGGGGAGCTCGAGGACGAATAAACTTTGCTTCCAAAAGAGTCCAGCCTCCGTGAATCTTTATTTTCCTGGGTAGGGGCTGGCTGGCTCTGCC